ATCTTGATTGTAGTCTTGATTTGATTAGATAGTTTGCTTTTGTATTAATGAATAAAATGGTAAAGTTGAGATTGTAGTTGAAGGTGTTCTTGTGTTGGTTTGTTGTTGGTTGATCGATTGGAATGAGAGTGATGATCATCAAGATGTCGATTGCTTGACAACTGTAGCATACGTATCAGACTTGTGATATGTCTCATGATGTGATTACACATTACATATTCACTAGTCACGTGTCAAAATCATCAAGTAAAAGCATATCCTTCCATAAGTATGACATCATCAAACATCCTCAAAAGAAATCAACCAATCAGAAAACAAAAAGTTCTCTGAATCAAATGCTCTTGACCAATAAAACTTGAAACTGTATTTTACTGATACCTTCCACTTGTTTTAATTCCTCAAAACCCATCCACTTCTACATTGTACAATACATACCCTGGAAGATCCCAAAAAGAAAGCCAACCAAATCCCAAATGTGTGATACATTGACAAAATAACAGAAGAAAAGTAAAAATCAATTAACCATTCAGTTTCAAGAATCTCTAGTAATAGTACTGCTGACCATTACCGTTTGTTACTACTACTAGTGTGGTGATCAAGCAAGCTGACTGGAAAGTTAAAACAGAGCTGGGGGACTTACACTGGGATTTGGATTTGATGACAAGCCTACACTGCAAACACCAACCAACTTCCCGGAAGTAAAATTGATCACAAAAGATTTATCACTACACACCTGAGCCGTAGCACCCACACAGTACACTACATAGGTGCAGCAAGATGGGTGAATTGTGAGTTATTATGTCCATACAGATCTGCTCAGCTATTGGCTCATCTGGATGAATAAAACATATGTAATACCTTCTCTAACCTTTCTCAGTTTGGCAAATACATTCCAAAAATTGACTAAATGCATTGACTCATAGTTTGGGTGTAGTTCCATTAATTAAACTTCATCTAACACCTGTTCTTTTACTATCAAATGGCTTCCAGAGTATTGCCTGGGTAGCTCTGAAGGTCTATGTAGTCAAATCATTGGGAGGATTTTGTCAAACTGGAAGAAGGGACATGATGTGTGATATGTGATTTACTTATTCAGATGAGCAGGGAACTAAGCAGACCTGTGTTTCCCCATGCTCAGGTTTTGTAACCACTCAGTTGGACCAAGTGAGTGTGACTGGTATCAAACCCTGGTACCATGCTTGTTTCCTGAAGTTGAATGAATACATAAATCACTTGGAGGGGACTGTACATGGTACCTAAAAATTTACCCATCTTGCTGCACATATGTAATGTGGGTTTTATGGCTCAAGAGTATGCAGTGATCAATCCTTTATGACCAATTATAATTCCCACCATTTTGCCCTTGCTCAATGGAAGGGAAGTTGTTTGATATTTACAGTGAGCTTAGTACAGCATGATCATCAGTTCTACTATAAGGTAAGAAGACTTAAATCCTAATCATAAATACTACTACTAGTCAAGCTCACATACCAAACTTTATGATGAAGAATCAAAACTAGATCTTTCATGTGCATCCAGTTGAATAAACTCAAATCATATTGATAAATAAAACTAATGAAATAGATTGTTGAACCAAATCCTAATTCATACGCATAGATGCATATACCATGTAAGAAAGTGTAAAATTCTATATTCAATACCAAGTGCAATTATTGTTCTTATGAAAATAATCATAAAAAATCCAAGTCTAAGAAACCAAACCAAACTGATTAAGATCCACAGAAATTCCAAAAAAAACCTTTGTCTTATTTTCCATTCCCTTACATACATACACTACGGGTCAATGGTTGACAGGGGAGGATGTCGGTTCTTCATCCTCCCCCACCACTATCGTTAGTATCTCACCTATACAAACAGTGAGAAAACTGCATTTCCTGACTGTACATAGATCCTATTTCCTTCATCTCAAACTCACTCGAATCCTTCTTACATATCACTCAATTTACATACATATGTACCGGCCTTTCTGAAAACTCCAAGTCCGTAGGTGATAACCTCAGGCACGCATGGCTAATCTTGAGACAACCAAACTCCACCGCACCGTCAGCCACGGTGCAGCCGCAGATCACACCGCCTTGATCCAGAAAACGCGTGCTCAAATTACTAAGTGCGCTAAATCCATTTCCTCTCAATACAAACTCAAACCATCAAACATACACCCTCAAACTCAGATCATCACATCCACTCAACCTATAATACCACCGACATGCCAATCACTGGACATCCTGTACATCCCACCGGCACCCAGGTCGTAGCTCACTTAGAACGCCTTGCTGCTGCCGCGGGAGCAAACGGTCTTCACACTCCCAGCCACACGCAAAACACAAGTCACACGCAAAACACGAGTGCCCTCACCCAACGTGCCAGTACTAATACTACTGAGGTGCCATCGACTGCCACAGCCAAGCCTCCTCGCAAACGCAACAAGACCAAGGGTAAAAACAAACGCAACAAACACAAGCGAGGAGACAATGGCTCCGGTTCCGAAACCGAAGATGAGCCGATATTCAACCCAGCCAATTTGAAAAACTCCGACAAGACCGCGCTTCAGCTTCGTTACTTAGCAGAGAAACATTCCACGTCGGGAATGTCGGATGAAATACTCGAGTCTGTACTTGAGTTCCATGAAGAAATGCAAACTTTGATTGCAATCAAAGCCCTCGAACTTGGTACCACCGTCTCGGCCATCGAAGCAGTTTTGTAAGAGATCAACTCATCTATCTGTACGATGTTGTACAATACACTGACCAAATGGCTTATTCTTATCATTAGTGGAAAGTATATTGGTGTTCGTCGCCCTTCGCGATGGAACCGATTCTTACAAAGCCCGAGAGCCAGGGCCATATTCAAAGAAGGTGTGTGAAGTATGGGACAATACCAGCAGTCCTTACACTGACATCTATTTTGAAATAGCTCGCGGGATTGGTAGCGGCGAAGGCATGAGACAACTGAGTGCGGTGTGGAAAAGCATGACCGAAGCCGAAAAGGATGTCTACAAGGAGGCCACCCAAGAGACCGATCCGGCCAGCCTTCAAGCTATGGACAAAGACCTAGCAAGCCTGGAAGTTGGGTCTCGCTCTCGAGACCAACTACTACAGTCTGGTTCAAATACTGTAATCAATGCTCGGAGTCTCAAAAAATACAAGGATAATGCCGACAGATATATAGATGACCTTATGAAACATGTAAGTAGCTTTCATTGGCCACTTCCGATAAAGAAATGTGACTGAGACCTCAATTCTCTGCAACAGTGTATTCCGGTTGCCGAATCCAACCACTTCGAGATGATTGTTGTAGCTGTATCAAACCATATATCGGATCATAGCTTTCAGATGACGCGCTCAACGGTAGGGGTCAAGAAAATTGTCGAGGAGATATACGCAATCGATGGCGTCAATAAATTCGCAACAGAAGTACAAGCACACTTGGTCGGTCGAAAACCCAGCGAGCTGGCCAAATCACAACCTGGTAGGTTTTCATAGGGTTTCCATGATCTTGAACTTGTATCTTTACATCTTTCACTTATGATTTATTAGAGAATAGCCGCAAGTTTCATGCCAGGGTGGTCGGGTCCCTCTCAACTTATTGTAGTAAGTCCTACAGAGTGATCAGAACTACATAGTCACAGCTAATATGTACATTTCTTTCTTTAGAGGGAGTGACCGGCTTGAAACATTGGCCATGGAGTACTTGTGACACCACTTTCAAGGAAGCCGGATTCAAATTCACTTTACTCCCTGGTGCCCGATCGGTTGAAGAAACCTTCAAGACCAAAAGCAACAACACAAGCCGTGCCAAACTTTTGGCCATTGAAAGCGACCTCGAGAACAACTTGATACACCTAGCCCCCATCAACCAAACCTCTTCGGCTCAAACTCAACGCACCGAAAACAATGAACATACTGCTAACATTGGGACAGCCAATAACTCTGATATCCAATAGTCTCAAGATTGTACTTTCCCCATCTAATTCCGACAAAAACCAACCAAACCTGATTGAAGGTTCTCGTCGATATGTTTCTTGTGATTACTTTTAGAGTTTTTATGTTTGGATTCAACTGTTTTCAATCTCCGATGCTATCCTTTTATCTTATACATTCTCACTCGATATGAAATGAAATGGATACCACCCCATATGCCTGACTTACACGTGTTTGATTAAGATTAACGTTCTGTTTGAACACGCCCGAAATGCTGATTGATCAATGAGTTCGGCAAGGATCCTTTACAATAGGATATCACTTGTATTTGATACAAGCGATATTAACACAGCCGAGACATGACTTAATGAATGAGAGCAAGTCATTCGCGCTGCTGCAATGCAACCCTTCAATTATACAACGTAAACAGGAAGTTTATCTATTGATAAACATACACGTCACCACGATTCGCGTCCTCAAGGCTTCTCACCCTCCGATCATCGGGATGAAGGTCATCTCTTGGACTTAAAAGCTGTAAGTCATTTTGATTCTCCCTCTTCTCATCGCTCCAGATCCATCCAGAGTTATCTATCATCCACCAACACTACACTTTTATTACCAATACTACTCTTTCATTACTTCAACTATTGTGTTTTACTTCACATCCACTACATTAGCTCTAAACTCGTCAAGTTCAAGTCATTCTTACAAATCCCATCATGTCTTCACCTTTTACTTCCAACGGCATCGATACTTCTTCAGATGTCCTAACTCCTACCACGCCTCTTCATATCTCGACCCTTCCTGTCAGTTCAGCTGCTGCGAGATCGATTCTCGAAGTTGTCATGTCTACTCGCGGAAGCGCTGAACGTGACCCCGTGTCGATCCCCTTTACTGCCCACCCGGGTGTCAAGGAAGGCAAAGACCAGTGCATGAAGTGTGGCATGATTGGGCACCGTACTTATCAATGCGCTGAATATTCAACTTCCGCCGAATCGATCCCAGACTGGCGCCGTACAACTAACGGTAAGATCTACAGTGTCAAGGCATTACTCGGTATGCATCCTTACTGCAAGTGGACTATGGACACGGTATTGGAAGCATCCTCGAGGTACGTCTCTTTGCTCTACATCTCAACATCA